TTTCTGAGGAATAACTCGGGAGGAAGAAATGGGGAAAAAAAAAAAGTTATTAACTGGATAGGTGAAAAACTTCTGATCAAACATGTTCTACTACTACTCTACATTTGAAAGAGTATTGCAGGCTGAGAATATATATATATATACATGGAAATACATATGTGTGTGTGTGTATATATATATATATATATATCTATATATATCCAGTGAGAGATATAAAAGAAAGTTGTCTGCTGGTGCTGACCGGATTATTGAATAGCCTTAATGTACATGCGTTTCGCTGCGTCATGGAGATTAACCCTAAATCTGTTCCAGCTGTCACCCGGCATTGATTTCACTTTGCTTTTCAATAGGGTCAGAGTGGGCTAAGCAGAGCAAAATAGACTAATCCTACAGAGAACATTAATAAAATGATACAGGAGTTGGATCACTTTTTTTGGGGGGGGGGGGGCTTAAAATCAGTTTTATTTAAAAATTACCTTTTTACTAGTATTTTTTTGAAGCTATTAGTGCATCTTTCTCCTGAGTATCAAGCTGATCTGAGGTAGGTGCTTTTCCCTTTGCAAATGTTGTATCTATCATGCAGCTTTGATAGTTCAATTATCATAAAATTTTAAATTTTCTACAACTATATTGGAGAAATCCCTTTGGTGTTCATTTTAACACTATGTTTTGTTTACAGGAAACATTTAATAGTGATAATATCACTTAATCACAGTGCTATGCAGTGTTTTGTTTGTTCAGAACGGGAGCTGATAACTATGGTGGCTATTTTTTTGTACAAAAAGCAATAACAGCTACTCCTTTTGAGAATGTAATCATAATTTATTTGCTTTCAATAAAGTRCAAATATTCCTTTTTTTTTTTTTTTTTGACAGATATATGAATAGGAATATGTTAAGGTCCACTTTTTAATGTGGAAGGTGTCAGTAGAAGCACTTTTGATTTCAGGGCGTGATGGATCCTCCTCTGGAAGGCTGTATTTTTTCTTTTTCCTTTTCTTTTTGTTTGTTTTATGTGCATAATGATGCTGTTCATAGATAGGTCACTTCAAATGTGTTGTATTCCTTTGTGCTTTTTGGAAGCATTTTTCTGTTGGAAAAAAAAAAGTAAACTTAAAGTAACATTCTAAAATGAAAATATTACAAAAGTACATTTCAGGTCCAAAAACTGTATCCAGGCTCTTAAATATTATTCCATTTTGCATTTTTGTCTCTTCTCAGATTCCCCTTAATTCCCATCTCAGTCAGACATTTAGACTGTCCCTACTTCGTGTTCTGCTAAAGCTGGACGGGATTGTGCTACAACCATAATATTAATAGTTAAATGCTACACAGACTATTATTCACATATCTTTAAAGACAGCCTGCAGAAGAGTTACTTGCTTTGTGGGGTGTGGGTGTGGGGGTGTCTGTGGTGTGGGTGTGT